CTCTCTGATGGAACATTAAGGGTCTGATGTTCGCATCAGCTTCTTATTCGACTTTTACCTTAAGTAATTTCATGTTTCTTCATATCTATTTTTGGATGTCTCATTTCTAAGAATCTATTGCTGACTTTCATGGCTCTTTTGGTTTCCCTATTACTTAGGATTTTTTTTTTTAATTCTCATTGCTTTTTTGTTTGATTCCTCTGGCTCCTATTATCGGGTCGGTAGCAATCTCTATGGCATGCTGTCACTTCTCTAGTACTATAACATCATGGTGGTGGGACTAAGCAAATATTTTGCTTCGTTTTGAAAATCGGATTGAAACAGTCCTATAGCCAGTTCGCTCCTCCTGAAAAATCGGTCTAGTCAAACCGGTGAGAATCGGTTTGAACTATTGGTTCAACTAGCCGTTGAACCGGTTCCGATTCTTAAGAACCCTTTCGGTTTAATTCATAATATATTTAAATAATTTAATTTAATATAAAATATTTTATTAAATATTAAATTAATTTTAATATAATATATTTTATTTAATAATATAATTCCAAAAATTTTATAGTGTTATGTATTAAACACTAGTTAATCATACCCACATGATTTCATCACCCAATGTGGGCCTTAACCCATGGATACAAGAAAGTATATAAGCAACACAACTAAAGCTCCTATGTGATGTGGGACTAAACAACTAATAGTTTCTATAATGTGTGCATGGTGGATGCTTCAATGAGAAGTTTTTGTGAAAATTTTGTATAGAATATTCAAATAAAAATGATTATAACAATTTCGGTTCCTTGTAGGTTTCTTTCTTAGAGAAATTATTTAGTCTTATTTGATATTCCATGAGGCTTATAAATGATGGTACAAAAGTAGTTCATGGTGATTTTAAAAATTTCTTTGGATGTACAAATCCTTCTACTTTTGATATTTTGTTCCTTTATTCAAGTTTTGAGTAAGCATGAGGCCAATTTTTTTGTTGATTTATTCCTTTTGTATTCGTTTTTTACGTTATTATTCTTTTTTGTTATTTATTGGACATATGATTTAGTTTTATTAGATGTCTTAAAGATGGATTTTTTTTTTGTTTGAACTCTCAATCGTATGCATGGCTTTCATGATCCCTTAACTTTATTCTAAAAAATTTCTAGTAGAGGGCTATAAATCGTTCATTAAATTTGATATTGTCATTTTAAATTTTAATTGAGGGTAATTAGTAGTTTATGATTAGTAATTTGCATCTTGTGAAAATTACATCTTTTTTGCAATCTTTGATTGCATCTAAATTTATATTGCATGTTAGATAAAGCCTGTTACCTAAGGCACTCACCCCAAATTATATTTGGCATTCAAGCATGAGGTTGCACCACAATGTATTCTAGATGTAGTAATGCATGGTATTTGAGAATCTATGGTTTCCTTATGCAAACCTTGTGACCCTGTGAAATGAAATAGTCTTAGTTAGATCGTTTGCGTGGGCGGAAATAGGATACGAGCCAGTTTGGGGGGTTGTTTGTGCAGGATCGAGCTCAGAAGCAGGGCATTCAGGTCTTCCTTCGCACAAAATATGCACACAAAGGTTAAAAAATTGTAGTTCAATTATTACTTATGGTAAAGTTTAGTCTCTTTTGATGCAATAAAAAAACATGTCAAGTTTGTGCTAAAACATAATTTAAATTTCATTTAAAATTGGTAATTAAGTTAAAAAAGAGAAAAAAATAGAACTAGACATTGCAGAATTCACACCATAAAAGGAAAACTTGATTGTTTCCGACTTGTCCTAATATCAATTACACATGCAAAATCAATCACAAATTTCTTGATATCATAGAGGGACCAGACAAAAATTAATCCTTAAGAATTCTCCGAAGGTTACGTTTGACCTAAAAAAGGTCAGTAGGAGTAGGTAGGAAAGTTTTTCATTACCCGTTATTAGTACTCAGGTAAATATTTCCTATTTTCCACAGGTGGCTGATGACTCGAGTTTGTATGGATGTTGTGTTCTAGTTGAAGAGATTGTACAGAAACCTTCTGGATTGATTTCAATACTTTCAGAGGAAAAGCATTTAATTTCATCTTTGAGCCGTCACATCATCACGACAGCCAGATGCTATTGCATTTTGTCAAGACTTCCGTTTTTTGATCTGCACTTCGGTATATTGAGAAGGTATGTTGCCAGTTGTTAGTCTTGGCAAATACTATTTTTTTGCTGTTTTCTTGCAATTTGCAACTGCTAATCAGTGTTTTCTTTTGTCACTAAAAAATGAGCTTTGTTTGCGCACTAAATGGTAAAAAGTATAAAAAAAAGGTAGAAAAGTATTCCCACTTCTCTCAAAACCACTTGTCAGCCATTCATAAATATGCATGCTGAACTTGGAAGTGTAACGTCAGAGAAAGTCTTCATTCATCTCCTTACTACTAAACAACGTGAATGGATGGTGAGTAGGATTGGGAAGAATTAGTTGAAGCTATTACATAACACAGAAAAAATTATGCTATAAACCTAAAACATCAATGCTATTTAGAAATTACCTGCATTTTCAGTAATTGCAGAATTGGCTGTATATGGCATCTATATGTGAGGGTAATTGATGAGGTTACACACTATTTAAAGTTTCATGACTACGCAATTTTACGAGATATATCCATGAAAAAATATTATATTGGGTGGGCGTTGGTCTTTAATAGAATCATGTGGTTTCAAGATAACGTTTGGTTTGAGTATTTAACAGTAGAGGTGGATACGTCTATGGAAATTCAGGGGCAATCGTTTAAGTATATTTGAACCATATGGATCTCCTAGTTTAGGTCCTTTAGGAATAATAGGTTCCACGCAACTGATTATTCTGGAACACGGGTTTTAAGAAAATACTCTGAGCCTTTAATTTGTAGATCACTTAAATCTTCTATTTTCGAGCAAAAATGGTCTTGGAAAATGTTCAACTTTACTTTTTACAAATGTTTATTGTGGACTTGTAATCTGTGAGTGGAAATACAATTTTTGTGGAGTGAAAGTATTTGATTTTTTGTATCTTTCAGAGTTGAAACTTGTTTGCATATTTTTCCTTAAGTTGAAAGATGTTTAGTGACGATGACAGTATTTTAGGTTAGATTAATCTATCGTAGTTTTTTGTAATGGCAAGAGTTGAATCAGTGGTTTTCATGCCCTATGACATGGAAAGTAACAAAACTTTAGTTTACTAGAGTTGCTTCTTAATCTTTGATTGAATAATGAATATATGGTCTATTTGTTTGCTAGTTTTTCTCGGTTTTAAGCCTTTCTTTGATAGGTGATATCATTATGAATTTGCTTGGATAGGCACATTTAAATATTTCTGCTATATTTGTAACTAAAAAGAGGTAGTTAGAAGAGTGGTTTCTCTATAACATTTTTGGAGTCCATTGTCATTTATTTTTGATCCAACTCTTGCCCAACTGATGTAGACAAGGGATATAGGGGACCCTATATTTCTTGAATACAAAAGACACACAAGAAGAACACTGACAAAATGAGTAGAACTTAAAACAAACTTTGTTAAATAAATTCAAACGACTCAAAACTTGACAAACACAACAAAAGATGCTAGGAGTGATGAGGACATCATCAGTATTGTCGACACATGTACCATCAGGAGACGCCG